AGTTATGCCAGCACCATTTGTTGACGATGCTTTCTTTATTCCATTGTATAACTTTAGCTTCTTGTCAAAAATCAGGTGTTCATAGGTGTGCAGCTTAACATCAGGGTTTTCAACTCGATTCCATTGGTCTTCCTGTCTATTTTTGTGCCAATACCAAGCTGTTTTCAGAACTATAGTTCTATAATAGAGCTTGAAAGGTGATGCCTCCTAAAATTCTGTTATTGTACTGGGTTGTTTTTGGCTATCCTGGGTCTTTTGTTTTTTCCATATAAAGTGAGAATTGTTTTTTCAAGTTCTGTGAAGAATTGTGCTGGGATTTTGATGAGGATTGCATTGAATCTGTAGATTGCTTTTGGCAAGATTGCCATTTTTACTATGTTGATCCCACCTATCCAAGAACATGGGAGATCCTTCCATTTTCTGGTATCTTCTTTAATTTCTTTCTCTTTTTTGACTTTTTTTTATTGAGTTACAAACAATATTGAATTACATGACAATCCCATTTCCCTTCTCCCTCTAATTTCTTTCTTTAAAGACTCAAAAGTCTTATAATACAGGTCTTTCACTTTTTTTGGTTAGCATTACCCCAAGATATTTTATGTTGCTTGTGGCAATTGTACAGGGTGATGTTTCTCTGAATTCTTTCTCATTATATTTATTATCCATATATAGTAGGGCTACTGATATTTTTTTTTAGTTAATCTTGTACCCTGCCTCTTTGCTAAAGGTGTTTATCAGCTATAGGAGTTCCCTGGTAAGAGTTTTTTGGTTCACTTATGTAGACTATCATATCATCTGCAAACAGTGAACGCTTGACTTCTACCTTTCCAATTTGCACCCCCTTAATCTCCTTTTGTTGTCATATTGCTCTAGCTAGAACTTCAAGGACAATATTGAAGAGATATGGAGATGGTGGAAAGTCTTGTCTTGTTCCTGATTTTAGAGGAATAGCCTTGAGTTTTTCTCCATTCAGTTTGCTGTTGGCTGTTGGCTTACTGTATAATGTTTTTATTATGTTCAGGTATGTTCCTGTTATTCCTGATCTCTCCAGGACCTTTGTCATGAAGGGGTGTTGGATTTTGTCAAAGGCTTTTTCGGCATCTAGTGAGATGATCATGTGGGTTTTCTTCTTCAGTTGGTTTATATGTTGGATTACATTGATAGATTTTCAAATGTTGAACCAACCCTGCATGCCGGGATGAAGCCTACTTGATCACGGTGGATCATTTTTCTGATATATTATTGGATTCGGTTTGCCAGTATTTTGTTGAGTATTTTTGCATCTATGTTCATGAGGGATATTGCCCTGTAGTTCTCTTTCTTAGTTGCATCTTTGTGTGGCTTGGGTGCCAAGGTAATTATAGCCTCGTAAAAAGAGTTTGGCAATGAACTTTCTGCTTCTATTGTGTGGAACAATTTGAGGAGTATTGGTATTAGCTCTTCTTTGAATTTCTGGTAGAATTCTGCACTGAAGCCATCTGACCCTGGGCTTTTTTTGGTTGGGAGACTTTTGATGACTGCTTCTATTTCCTTAGAGGTTATAGGTCTATTTAAGTTGTTTATCTGTTCTTAATTCAATTTTGGTAAGTGATATCTGTCCAGAAAATCGTCCATTTCCTTTAAATTTTCCAATTTTGTAGAGTACAGGTTTTCAAAGTATGACCTGAAGATTCTCTGGATTTCCTCAGTGTCCATTGTTATGTCCCCCTTTTCATTTCCGATTTTGTTAATTTGAATGTTCTCTCTCTGCCTTTTGGTTAGTTTGAATAAAAGTTTGTCTATCTTGTTGATTTTCTCGAAGAACCAACTCTTTGTTACATTGATTCTCTGAATTGTTTTCTGTGTTTTGACTTTATTGATTTCTGCCCTCAGCTTTATTATTTCCTGGCATCTACTCCTCCAGGGTGAATTTGCTTCCATTTGTTCTAGAGCTTTTAGCTGTGATGTCAACTCTCTGGTGTGACTCTTCTCTAGTTTCTTCATGTGAGCACTTAGAGCTATGAACTTTCCTCTTAGTACTGCTTTCAAAGGGTCCCATAAGTTTGGGTATGTTGTGTCTTCATTTTCATTGAATTCTAGGAAGTCTTTAATTTCTTTCTTTATTTCTTCCTTGACCCAGGAATTGTGCAATTGGGTGTTGTTCAATTTCCATGAATTGGTAAGTTTTCTGCAATTTGTATTGTTGTTGAATTCTAACATTAAGGTATGGTGGTCTGATAAGACACAGGGGGTTATTCCAATTTTTGTATCTTTTGAGGTTTGCTATGTTGCTGAGTATGTGGTCAATTTTAGAGAAGGTTTCATGTGATGCTGAAAAGAAGGTTTATTCTTTTGTGTTTGGATGGAAAGTTCTATAGATGTCTGTTAATCCCAA